AAACATGACTTTTGAAATATCTGGTTTTTTGAACACTCTTCTTTTGAAAGACCTAACCGGATCATTCCTCAAAATGCTAGACACTTATGGGATAAGGGAGGAACAGTGTTGCATGGCCCAATCACATGTGCTTTTGTCATTAGCAAGGTACAGCATAACCTCATGTTGACCTCAGTGGCAAATGGTGTTAACAGGGAAGTATTTTACATGCCTGTGAACACAGTCCAGGCTGAACATAAATCAGTAACTTCAGTGGTATAAAACTAAAATGATGCCTCTTCCTCCGTCTTTCTCTCTTCATTTTTGAATACAGTATATTATAGAAAGAGATTTGGTTTGGAGAGAAACACAGGTTCTTGTACAGTAGGTGTTCAATCCAGCCTGTGGGGAGTCCTGCAGCCTGGATGACATATCTCCAAGTACCATATCAGGCTGGCACATGAAGTTGCTTTGCAGCTAGATCTGGCATGTAGGGCCAGGCCAGCACATAAGGTCTCACCCAGGGACTGACCCTGTGCTGACCCCACACTGGATCTGCCTTGGGAACCAGCCTTGCCCTTGGGACCTGGTCTGTAGACCTGTCCTGCACCACTCATCTGGTTTGTGGGGCTGGAAGGTTAAGCAACATAGGTATAGTATCAAGTTTAGCTAAATTGTAAAGAATCTTGTAAAAATTCATAATTCAATTAAACATAAATATTTTATCATGCTGTGTGGAGAATTAATATTTCAGCTTGCAGAAAGCCAGTTCATCTTTCAGGAATGTCTTGTAGCTGCTGATTTAGTAAATTATATACTGTTTTAGGTCTATAGAAATGTCCTCTGTTTGCTTTTAAATGCCAAAGTTTATTAGTTTGCATATGCATATGTTAAAACTGACACACAAATCTGTAATATTTTATTTCCTACATAGAAAGTAGTAAATATTCTCAAGCATTGTGTGGTAATTCTCTAAATGTGGTGGAATGTGATTTTGATAATCAGTTGCAAATTATTTGGATACAAATACAGGCAAGCCATTTCTAGCTGTTAATCTTGTCCACTACTGATTTTAATTTTAGGATATTATTATCCAGTATCGATATTAATCTGTTTGTCTGGTTTTTTTTTAGAATGAGAGAGCATATTCCTTTTGTGGGACAATAGAATACATGGCTCCAGATATTGTCAGAGGTGGAGATATCGGACATGACAAGGTGCGTTTCTGCCCAGCTTTCTATTAAAATTTTTATCCAAGTGATAAAATTTAGAGCCTTAGATACAATTAATGATATGACCAGCGACATTCCCTTACCCAATTTCACTATTGAACCTTTTCCGTCTCTACCATCATTCTAAATTAAATCAAGCTGAATAGGCTAGGTTTTCCAATATTCATCGATAGGCCACTGGTTGTTTTTAGGAACTTATTTAGGAACTTAAAAGTTGACCATCTCAGTTGTCCTTGGCTCATGATTTGAGTAAACCTATCTTAGTGCAGAGGGTGTTAGCAGGGGTGCTTAACCTGTGGCACCTTGTCATCCAGCCTGCACAACTCTCCATATGCAGGCTGTGGCCCTGCATGCTAAATCTGCTGTGCAGGGTAGTGTGGGACCCAACTCCAGCCTGTGAGGCTGGGCAGAGGTAGCATGGAGCCTTGGAGCCCTGATCCAGGCATGTGCAACTGGGCAGCAAGGTCCTAGGGCCCTGATTCAGGTACACTGGGCTGGGCAGAGGCAGTGCGACTTTCCGAGGCCCTAATCCCAGTGGGTGGAGGTGACACAGGGTCCTAGGGCCCAGATTCCAGCACATGCAGTGGGGGGGAGGGTTTAGAGCACACTCTCAGCACATGTAGTAGGGCAGAGGTAGTGCAGGGTCCTGGGGCTCTGATTGCAGCTTGTTGGGCCAGGCAGGGGCAGCACAGTCTGGATCCAGGCATGGGGTATGATGTTTAATTTAGCCTGTAGACGGGTCCCATGCCATTCATTTGACCCACAGGGCCAAAAGGTTGAGCACCCCTGTTTTAAACCGTATCTCATGTTTTAAAAAAAAAGAAAAAACAAACCAGAATAATGGCTTACAAAGAACTGATGAGTATTTTCTTAAAGTTAAAAATGAATTTAAACTTTTCATCCTTCCAATAACTAGTTTCACAGCTTTGATTCATTCTGGTAATACATTACTAGATATATTTTAATACAGTTTAATGAGGATCATTTAAAAATAGTTGTGTCCAATTCCTTGTTACTGTCTCACTAGGGGAAATCAGTGATAGGCTGAGGAATATAAAGTCCATTAAGAGGATATTAGTAAAATTTACAGGACTAAAATTTTATTCAAACTATATATTTCACTTTCACTAGAACTTCTTAATCCATGAAAAATTAATTTTGCTTTTTTCCCCCAAAATGAGACTTTGAAACTACAATCTGAACATATCTATAAGGTCACAATCCTTACTCACGAGATTTTTCCTTACAGTTTTTAGACAATACAAGTCTCAGCAAACTTTGAAGTTCCAACACGAGGACCTGGGTAATTATAGACCAGTTAGCCTGACTTTGATACCTGGGAAGTTACTAGAGCATGTTATAAAGAAGTCTATTTGTAAACATCTGGTAGAGAAAAGGCTCATCATGAGCAGGGATCCAGACTCTGTGTTGGAAGAAAACACAGATTTCTCCCTTTACTGGTGCAAAAAGTGGATTTCCCATTTTAGCAGAGAAACTCACAGATTTTGCACTTTTTCATAGAGCTCTCTTTAGGCTGGCAGAGTTCCAGCCTGCAAGGGGCTGGGGGAAGTGGGAAGAACATAGTCAGGCCTCCAGGCAGCCTGGAGAGCAGCTCCCACAGGTAAGTGGTGGGGGTGGGGAATTGAGGCTACCATAGGGAGGGAGGGAGCTGGGCAGGGCTGGGTCTGGGGCTGCTGCCCAGCCTGGCAGTGCTTGGGGCCAGGAGCCTCAATGTGTGGCCACAGGACCCCGGGGGGAGTAGAATGGGGCTGTGGGCAACTTGTCCGGGGGGCAGAGGGGTGGACCTGGCTTCTTGCCACTGCATGCACTCCCAGGGGGCAAGAGGGACCCATGCCCCCCAAATCTGTGCGTGGGGCAGAGGTGGGGGTAGGCTGCCCACTGCAGGCTCGGGCTCCCACCCTGCAGCCCAGTGGATGCAAACTGGTGTGGCAGAGAACAGTGGAGCTCCACAGGAAAGCTGCTTGCTGCTTTGAGCTTCGCATTGCGCTGGCAGCCCATCCCCTGTGCGAGCGGCACCAGCACCATGCTGCCACCCCTGCTGCTGCCACACAGATAGGAGATGTGTCACCAGGGCAGCACAGAGTTCATAGTGGCAAACAGTTTTCCTGTGCAGCCCCGCTGGGCCCTGCAGCACCAGGTCACACCCTGTGAAGGCACCATGGAGGGCAGTAGGGTGGGAGCCTGAGCCCACAGCGGGCAGCACACACCAGCCCCCACCCCGCGTACAGATCTAGGGGACATGGGTCTCTCTTTCACCCCGGGAGCGTGTGCAGCAGCGGGGAGCCAGCCCCAACCTCTCTGGGCTGTGCTCCACCACAGCAGCTGCCACCCCAGGCAGGGGCAGGAGGCTGTGGACCTGAGTCCTTAGCCCCATAGCCCTAGCAGCTGGGGTCTCCCTCCCGGCAGGGCT